CAGTTGGAGAAAGGAAGCTGTGTGCAGTTTTGAGACAGTCTTGCTATGCAGCCGAGACTGGCCCTGCACTCTCAATCTGGCTCCAGTTTCAACAGTGCTGAGATTCTAGGTGTGCACCAGCCAATCTAGCCTTTAAGAAGTCCTTTCAAATATCTGAAATTCAAAAATTCACGTACCATCCTGCACAGCGGCTATAATGAGCCCTATCTTGGGATCTGGGGGCGTGTGGCTGGCTGCAAGGAGCAAGGCTTGGAGAATGAGAGAACTGACAAACGCTGTGGCTTGTATCAAGGAGCTGGCATCCCAAACCTCAAGAACTCCGAACAAAGTCTCTATGAATCGCAACTATTTAGAAAACTTTTCCAGTTTTTAGTTTTCCCTCTATTTCCTACAATGACATGATGGTATCTGCACCCATAGAGTAGGACAGGTAGGTCAAATAAAGCAAAAACAAAGCTTTGAAAAAGACATTTCTCAGAGACAGAGAGCCCTTTGTTTGGTCCTAGCTTAATACATAGTTTAAGTTTGGGAATTGCTGATTAAATAACATGTTTGAGGGCTGTTTGCCACTTAAAGGCAAGTAGCCTTTGTGGCACATTAATGAAATTGCAGTTCATCATTCCATTCAGCAGGTTACCACCTCTTTATGAATCAAGGTCCTTTGTTGAAGAAGGGCTGTTGTTACAAAAGCACCAAGATCAACCAGGAACTGACTTTTAGTTTGAAGAATGAATCTGGCCACCCGCATCAGCTTTTACTGCTCCCTCATATAGGACCAGGTTTCCAGTATGCTAGGAGCTTTTGGCACCAAGGTGTAGTGTGACAAGTGTCATCGCTGTTTATTTTCCCTGATGGACAGTGCCTGGTCCAGTGTAGGCCCAAAGTCACACTTTCAGTAAGTGCTGTCAAAAGAACTGAGACTGCGATACATGAGTGGGCCAACCCAAGTCCCAGCACTGACTCAGTGCAGCAGCTTTTCCCATAGTGGGGGTAACTGAGGCTGGCCATAGAGGGCTTCACATCATGGCAGTACTTCCTCTCCCTTTCCAACACAATCTCTGCTTAAATCAAGGAGAAAGCTGCAGTGTTGAAGAAATGCTTTAAATTTTGCTTCTGAACCAATAGCAGGCTCCAGGCTCTGCTGCAAGCACCCGTAACATGGTTCCCTGTCAGCAGAATGCAGCTGTGATGGTTTGAATGATAATGTCCCCCATAGGCTCCAAGTATTTGGACATTCTGTCCCCAGGCGGTGGCGCTGTTTTGGGAGGTTTTAGAAGGTGTGGCTATCCTGGAGGAAGCATGTCACTGGGATGTCCAGTCATTCTCTTGCTTCCTGTGCCTGCGTGATGATGTGAGAGTTTAGCTTCTGCTGCTCCTGCTCCAGCCACCTCCAGCCACTATGCCTCCCTGCCATGACGGACTGTAATTCCCCTGGAACCATAATAAACTCTTCCTTCTATAAATTGCTTGGGTCAGTATTTCTATCACAGCAACAGAAAAGTGACTGATACAGTAATTGGTACCGAGAGTGGGGTGTTGGCTGTGAAGAACCTGACCATGTGGGGTTTTGGAAAAATGTGGAAGGCTTTGGAAGTTTGGGCTAGAAAAGTGGTTGATTGTTGTAAGCAGAGGTTAACAGGCCATTCTAGTAAACACCTGGAAGAAAGTAGTGCTGAGAACAATGTAGTTCCAGAGGGAAATAAGGACTTAAGCACTTGGGATCTTTTGGCAAAGAGTCTGGCTGGAGTCTGCCCTTGACCTAAAAGCTTGCCTGAGGCTAAGTTGAAAAGCAATGGACTAATTTCTCTGGTGGAAGAAATTTCAAGACAGCCTAATGTAGAAATGGTGGCGTGGATATTAATGGTTGATATTATGCAGATCTACAGTGAAAAAGAACAAATGAGGCACAAAGAAATACAGTTTGGATTGAAAAAGAGCACTAGGAAGATAAATGTTGGAGCTTTATCATGTGCTAGAGAAGATCCCTTTGATAAGGAGATTAAAGTGATTAAGGAGGGGCCTAGAGATTGGATTTAAACAGTGGAGAGAGTGCCTCTGGGGCAAGACCACACCCAGTTGAGCCTCCAATTTGTGAAAGGAAAATGCTGCACCAGCCATGGAAGAGAAAAGCTTCTAAAATGGATAAAGCAGGCTGGAGTCCACCCCAAACTTGCAGTCAAACTTGGCAGTGTCGTTCACCCAGTGCTGGCTTTAGAGGCATGAACGTGAAAGAGTGAAGGGGTCATCAGTTCTTCCTCTGAGGTTTCAGAGAGCCTTGGAGGCCAGGCAGCATGAAGCAGGGGTGCCCTTGCCTAGAGAAGGCCCTGATAGGCCATTGTGTGAAGCTGTGAAGGTGAAGCCTGGTTGGCAATGGAGACCCCCCAATTAGTTTGTGATGTCAGAGCTGTGAGGCATCTGCCAAGCAGACCTGCATACAGGGAGTGGTACCAGCACAAGAGAGAGAGATGTGTGTTGCATGCAGCAAAGCTAGAGAGGCTGAGCCATCTAAGCCCTTTGGAAGTAAAGTCCCAGAAGTTGGACGTGGAGCTACTGGATTTGGTGTTTGCCCTCCTGATTTTTGGTCTTGTTTTGGTCCAGTATTTCCTTACTATGCCTCCATTCCTCCCTTTTGGAATGGTAATGTGTATTCGGTCCCACTGTATGTTGTATGTAATTTGTCTTTTGATTTTATAGAGGCTTACAGTTAAGATATTTACCTGAGTCTCAGAAAAGACTGGGCTGTGGACTTTTAAATAGTATTGAGACATAGTATTGAGACTGATAAAGACTATGGGGATTTTTAAAGTTGGACTAAATGCATTTTGCATTTTATATGATCATCAGCCTATAGGGGCCAGGGGATGGAATGTGATGGTTTGAATGATAATGTCCCCCATAGGCTCCAAGTATTTGGACATTCTGTCCCCAGACGGTGGCACTGTTTTGGGAGGTTTTAGAAGGTGTGGCTATACTGGAGGAAGCATGTCACTGGGGGTGGGCTTAGAGAGTTCTTAAGCCTGGCCAGATATCCAGTTGCTCTCTTGCTTCCTGTGCCTGAGTGATGATGTGAGAGCTTCATTTCTGCTGCTCCTCTTTCAGCCACCTCCGGCCATCATGCCATGACCGGCTATAATTCCCCTGGAACTGTAAGCTCAAATAAACTCTTCCTTCTATAAATTGCTTGGGTCAGTGTTTCCATCACAGCAACAGAAAAGTGACTAATACAGCAGCTCATGGCTCCATGACCGTAGCTATGATAGCAAAACAAACTTTACTTTTTAAAAGTTGTATTTACATAAAAGTGAATTGAAATAAATATTAAGAAAATAATAATGTGTGAAGAGAACCATCAAAAGTAGGATGGCAGGTGAGTGAATAAAATTTTGCAAATATTGCACCAAGATGCATTAGATGTTCATAAACATCTAATGAAATCCTGCTACCAAATGCCAACTTAGATTGTTGTCAGAGGTTTTACTAAGGGCTTAAAAAACATTGCTGCAGGGCTGGAGAGATGGCTCAAGGGGTAAGAGCACTTGCAATGCAAGCACCAGGACCTGAGTTCAGATTCCCAGGACCCACATAAAATCCAGGCATGTCTGCCTATACTTGTAACCCCAGCCTGGGAGGGGGAGTGGCAGGGACAAGCAGCCCCCAACAGCTGGCTGTTTTGTCAGCCTGGCAGAAACTCCCAGTTTCTGGTTCAATAAAAGACCTGTCTCAAGAGAATAAGGCAAAGTGATAGAAGACAACACATCCAAGCGTGCATGTGCCCATATTCTGTCTGTCTCTCACACACACACACAGTTGACCCAAAAGGGCATCCCCTTTAGAACTGTGACCGCTTCCTCTGAGCAGACCCAGTGGGGCACTTCTGTACGTCCAGCTGCTCCTTCTCGGAGCTTTAAGATGTAGACTCCTCAACGTGTGCCCAGCAGTAAGCAGACAAGGATCCCAGGTTCATTATTGGATGATAAATGTGCACTTGACCAGGTTAGCTAATTGCTGAGCCTCAGTTTCCTTATCAGTAAAATGGGTAGCACACTCACCTCCAGAGTACCTCCACTGAACACACTTTTTGATCAGCTACTACCAACCAGGCACTGGGAATAAGGAGCTACAGCGTACAACTTCTGTCCAGACAAACTTGATTTCAGGGTAAAAAGACGCAAATTAACACATAAAAACCTAAAAGTCAAGATGATTACAGATGCTCATTACATTTTACCGGAATGAGCTTTCTTTGGAATAATTTCTGGAGTAGCACCTGAGACCCGGAGATGGAAAGGCATCAACAGGTTAAAAGATGGGTGAGCGACATTCCAGGTAGATGGACTCAAACCTGCAAAAGCCAGTGGGACCTGCGTTCTAACTGTAAGGCCATGGTCCAAGAAGAGGAGGATGGGAGAAGACCGGACTCTGGAGTTTATTCTAGGAACAACGGGTGTTTTAATAAAGGGAGTTTCTTGGCCCGGTTAACCACTACAACTCTGGATAGACACATCGGGGTGAAGAGGCTCCTGCAGGATGCGGGGTGCCAGGTGCTAAAGGAGATGGCTAGGAATAGAAGTCGGTGGACTTGGGGTGCGCTACGGGAACCCTAAAGCTGCTAACGTTTCCGGGTGCTCAGCTCTGCCCACACACAAATGTAAGGGTAGAGACTCACTTTACCCTATCTACACCACGACCGTCCCCAGGATGGGGAAACTGAGTAAAGAGAGGTTCGGCGCCTGGCAGCACGTGGGGAGCGCTGCCCAGGCGCTGGGACCCTCCAACCGGCCACAGGACCCTGAGCTCCAAGGTCAGCAGGTGCGCCTGCAGCACCGCGGGGCGCCTGGACCCAGATCCAGGCTCCGGGGAGAGGGGACCCCGGCTGCACCACTTCCCTCGCGGCTCGCCCCCAGCCCGGCCGGCCTTGCAGAACCCCATCGGACTGCAGCACCCAGCAAGCCGCCATCAGGAGGGCGCGCACCCGGCCCGCGAAACAAGCCCACACCTACCTGGCTCGCGAGGCCGCCGCCGCCGCCGCAAGCTCGCCACTGAGGCTCGTCTGCGCATGCGCATATTTCAAACCCTCCGCCGCTGGGCGTCTCCCCACCACGCCGCTTCACCTTCCAGACGCCCGGGCCGCTGGGTCCTAAAGTCCGCCTCGTTCTGGGGACGGGCCGCGAGGCAAGTGGTGCAGCCAGGGTCCCCAGGGTGGGATACTCTCTCCCCGGAGCTCCGTCCAGGCTCAAACTTTAAAACTTGCTGCAGGAGAATAGTTTAATATTGAGTTCCCATAAAACCCGGAACCTCGAATGACTACTTCTCCTTTAAGACAGGTATGTTTCCATTCCTGCTGATTTTCCAGAAGAGTAGAGGGCTCTGTAAACCCATCTGGAAAACGAAACTCCTGCCTTTTCCTTGCCTTTTTCTACGGATGTTTGCTACGGAATGGGAGCTCTTTATTCCTTCGGTGTCCCTCAAATCAGGCATCACTGCACAAGGGTTGAATAATTCTGTGTGAACACTAACGAATCGTTTCGTTGAACTGTGCTAGACACAGTGTTAAGTGCAGGGATCACCAAGAGGACGGAAATAGACATAATAGCTACCCTGTGAGCTATACCCAATAGTCTGTTGATTTAAGTGTGTCTCGGAATTGGCCCAATTGGTTTGGTTCTTTTTGTGCTTTATTCACATTCTTTTTGCGTCTCCTACAAAGTGTAGAAGAGTTATGATTTGAAATAATCAAAAAGTTTATTGCAAGTTTGGTAGAGAGACTGGAAGCAACCGGGATGCGTTAAAAAAGCATCTAAGAGAGGCACTGGCGCCTCCCTCAGCTCGCTAGGAGCCTAGAAAACACAAAATGGGGCGGAACCAAGAGTGGAGGGAGGGGCCAAGGAATGGGCGGAGCCAAGGAGCCGTTGGTACGCAAAACTGTTAGCCAATCACCTTGGGGAATCAACGCCCAGTGTCTCGTAGGCCAGCCAATGGGAAGAGACATTGGAGATGCGCGGCGAAGTTGAGTGGAGGGATGGTGGGCGTGACCGGGCGGCGGTAGGCGTGGCCTGGCGGGTTGCGCGCTCCTGAGTTCTTCGAGCCGCGACTTGGCAGACCGAGCTAGGGCTGAGTGGGCCGCTATGTTTCTGTCTCTGGCGGGCGCTCGGCCCCGGGCGAGCGAAGTCAGCGCCTCGGAACGCAGGAAGTGGGTGGAAGTAGGTGTCGGAGCGCCTCTCGACTTCCACTGTGAGGCACTTTTGTCTCCGCTCTTGGGCTTCCCTCAGCTGGGTTGTACTTCGAAAAGGGCCGTACCTCGAAAAGGAGCTGCGCCCGGCCCGCTGCAGTGGATTGTCCGCTCCGCTCAAGCCGCTTCTCTCCCACGGTTCAAACCCCTGCGCGTGGCCTCACCTTGAGACTGAAACATTTTAAAGGAATTAGTTTGCATCAGCCTAGCGATCTAGTCGTTTACACTTTTGGGGCGGACGGCGGTGGTAGGGAGTAAATCTTAGCCCAGTAAATTTAGATTTCTTGGAATTAAAATTAGGCTAATGAAACCTCATTTTTAATGCCCTATGGCAGGGTTGAGTTCTAGATGTTCATGTTTCTGCTTGCTGTCTTATTAATTGAAGATGTGTAATATTCCTTAGGTATTTAAAGCATGCGATGAAGATAGAAAAGGATACCTAAGCAGAGAAGACTTCAAGGTTGCAATTGTGATGCTGTTTGGGTACAAGCCGTCCAAGGTTAGACCCTCTTTCATGTCTTCCCTCTCCTAATTCCCTCCTCTCTCCTTTGGATGAGAGTAAATCCTAAGAAAGTTGCCCAGGACCACTGTCTTGATTTTGTAGAGAAAATCATTGATTTATAAGCCCTTTTTAAAAAATTTTTTTTATTTTAGTGTATGAATGTATTGCCTGAATGTAAGTGCACCCCTGTCGTGTAGTGCGCACGGAGGGCGTCAGATTCCCCTGAAACTGGAGTTACAGACGATTGTTAGCCACCATGTGGATGCTGGGAATTGAACCTGGGTCCTCTGCCAGAGCAGCCAGTTCTCTTAACTCCTGAGCCATCTCTCCAGTCCCATATAAGCCCTTTTCTAAGGTGTTTCCAGTTTTGCTGAGTTTTCTTTGTTTTTAAAGGCCCAACACAGGGCCTTTGAATGAATTAGAAATCTATACCAGTGGAGCCAACAAACAACTTTACAGGTCAACTAATAATTTTACTAAATATGGGATGGTAGTGAGGGACGGCTGGGAGGGGGTATTGGTGAGAGAAGTAATTCACCTGCTAGTTGATATGCTTATCTCTTTTTCAGTTTGGAGAGACTTTGTTTAAATGTCAATGGTAATAGATTCATAGTCAAAGAAAATCCCACCCTTTCCTACTAGACTGGAGTCCCACTTCTTGGGAACTAACCAGTTTCTTGTGTATAGTTGTACATACACATGTAGGTTAGTTTTTTACTGAAAACAACAGCTGCTAACTATTTTAACATGTATATTTTCACTTAATGACATCGCCCCAAAGCACACACCATTACCACCTTTTGAGAAAGTAGCTGTGGGAGCTGGAGACATAGCTTAGCAGTTAAGAGCACTGACTGCTCTTGCAGAGTACCTGGGTGGATTCTCATCACCCACATGATGGGACAACTGTCCATAACTCCAGGTCCAGGGGGTTCAATGCCCTCTTCTGACCTCTGTGGGCACTGTATGACATGGGTGCACTTAGATACATTCAGGCAATACACTCATACACATAAAAATACAAATAAATAGAATGCAAAAGAAAATTGTATGGTATTGTATGTGGCTGGTCTCCTTTTCATTGTTTTTATGTAGGACTTGAATTAATTTCAGTTTCTGTAAGCATTGCCTCAATGAGCTTCCTTTCGGTCTAAATACATATGCACATAGATTATATCCTTTTGGAATATATATTGAGAATCCCTAGATATATAATTGCAGAACTTGGGAGCCTGAGGCAGAGGATCAGGAGTTTAAGGCCAGTTTGGGCTCATGATGAGACAGTTTCAAAACAATGGAAACAACCCAAAATATCAAAATTCCTAGAAATATAATTGCCATGTCCCAGGATATATACATTTGTAATTTTCAATGTTTTTATTATCACATGTTATTTTTGCATAATAATGGGTTTCATTATGACATTTTCATACATGCACATAATGTATTTTGATCATGTTCAGCTCTTATTACCCTCTCTTAGTCCCTTCTTCCTCCCACTTTGTCTTCTCAACTATCCTCCTCCTTCTATAATGTGTGTGTGTGTGTGTGTGTGAGAGAGAGAGAGAGAGACAGAGACAGAGACAGAGACAGAGACAGAGAGAAGGGCCATGACCCAGTGAGTGTTGCTTACAGGAGCATGGGCACCTTTCCAGTAGCTACACTACTGAATAAAGTATCACTTCCTCCCCCATCAACTGTTAAGCCTGTATAAATCCTCAGGGGAGGGATGGAGTCCCATGTGCTCCTCCCCCTTCCATGACGGGGTGTTGACGGGGTGCAAGCAATCACAACTGCTTTGAGTTCAAGAGTGCAGAAGCCATATCATGTCAGATGTCATGATTCCACACACACCCCCAACTTTCTCTGGTCCTTGCATTCTTTCCACTCCCCTTCTTCCATGGTGTTTCCTGAGCCTTGGAGGGTACCTTTCAAGGGAGTACCTTGGAGAGAACCTTGAAATTTTGTTAGCTGTTACTCTCTAGAAAAGGCTGCACAATGCTTGAACCAACCTGAGCCAAACTTCAATGAGCCTAATTTAGGAAGATGTTTCCTACTTACCCCAGTCTTAGTGCTGTTCTGCTTACTTGTTAACATACAGTCTAGAGACAGATCCATTCTTGTTACCGTGCTGAACTAATAAAGTCAAGACACTGTCAAAATTCAAGAAAATAAACTACAACCATCAAGCAGATGGAGCACTCTAGTCTGCCTGGCATGCCCTCCCTCTTTCTGGATGGGGCAGGGTTCACCTGTTCCTCATGAGTAGGTTTTACCTATCCTTGGCTCAGTGCAGCCAGGGACTCTGTGATGTTCTACTTCTGCACCCTTCAGTATGCTTGAATACAGTACAACTCTACAGTAAATGTGTTCTGTTTTCCTCCAGGTCCAATGCATGAGCAGCCCGGGGTATTCAGAATGGTTTGATTACTTAGAGATCCTTAGCTATGGTGAGTTGGTTACTGAGTTCAGAGAAGTAGTCCTGGCCCTGAAATTGTAGCCTTGCTGCTAACCTGCAATCATTTCCCCTGGAGTCCCAAGACAGATGACCTGCAAAGGCTGAACTTGGTAGAACATTGTATTTACCTGGAAAGATAGCTGCTTTCATTTTTAGTCTATTTTGTTTTTAAACTTTAGAACAGGTGAGAAATTTAATGACAGGTACAGTGGTATGGTAATGTGCATACAGTTTTGAAATTTGATAGGCATGCACTTTATATACTGGGTTGAGGTTTTACATCTTTAAAAATATTTTAAAATTATATTTGTATGTATGTGAGTATGTGTGTGGTGGGCACGTGCCACAGCATGAGTGGAGGTCAGAGGAACTTGCAGGAGTGGCTTCTCTGCTTCCATCATATGAGTCCCAAGTATCAAACTCAGGTCACCAGACTTAGCAGCAAACTTACCATATCACTGGCCCTTAACATTTTATTTTTCAGGCAAGTGAAATATTTAATGGTTACAGATCACTAAACAATAAAGTACTAACATAGCAAATCACCTCTACACTCACTAGTCATTTATACAATGAACTTTATTAGATAGGTGACATTAAATATACACTCTGCAGTAAATTTGGCCGGTTTTAAATTTTGTACTAAGTTAAGTACTGGAGTTTAATTTTTTTTTTCTTTTTGAGAAAGGGTCTCCCTGTAGCACCAGCCTGGAACTTGCTATGTTTACCAGGCTGCCCTGGATCTCACAGAGATCCACCTGCCACTGCCTCCTGAGTGCTGGGATTAAAGGTGTGTACCACCATGCTCAGCCTTGGAGTTTAATATTTTAGTTATTTTTATTTTTATGTGTATGAGTGTATCGCATGCATGTATGTAGGGGTACCTGTATTGCAATGCCCAAGGAGGTCAGAAGCGGACATTGGATCCCCAGGAACTGGCACTGCAGATGGTTCTTTAGCTGCCATGTGGGTGCTGAGAATTGAATCCTGGTCCTCTGCAAGAGCAACCAGTGCTCTTAACCGCTGAGCCATGTCTCCAGCCCCAAGTTTAACTTTTTAATATTGCATTTGAACAACTGAAATACTGATTGTAGGTTAATAAGTTAAATAATATGAAATTTTTCTATCCTAGCAAGTGTGTATTTTGAAGTGCTATTGCAAGGTATTATTTTGAACAAGCATAGCACTACAATATTTCATGAAAGACTTAAGTAACAATTTATATGCTGATGTACTTGTTTGCATAATGAAATTTATTAAATAGTTCTGTTTAATAAAAGGAATACTTGCTAGTTACAGAGATGTGAAGATGAATGAAACACAGTCCCTGCTTCAAAGCAATTTATATTTTTGTATAGACAGACTTACAGAACTGTAATAGATACCAAGACAGAGAAGATAGTTAACACACAGAAAGAAGGACAAAATGGGTGGGAGGGCAGCTGTGCTAGGTGTCCAGATGTCCTTTAGACTAGAGAAACTCACTACTGACATGACATGTCTGGGACCCTCTGTGGGCAGTAGGACCAGTTAATGCCCTGGTGATTGCCTGGAAGTACTGGTGGTAAAAGAGTAGTGTAACCACCCAGTAAGAGAGAATTCAGGTGGACTGATACTATCAAGAAAGAATTCAGGAGGAGTAGGTTCATGGGAGTCAGCTCCAGGCAAATTGAATTTGAGGTGTCTTGCAGGTGATTCACCTATATTTGGTTGTCAGATACTGTACTGAGTATCAAGGTCCTGCCTATCTTAAATATACGAACAATAGGGACACCTGGCTAGTTCAGTTGGTAGAGCATGAGACACTTAAATATGGGAACTGCAGTTGGTTAGAGAGGTAAGGGCTGGAGTAGATTTGGGGCTCCTCAGTTTACAAGGAGTAACTCAAATTGTAAGACTGAAAGGCATGACATAGGAAGCTTTTTGCAGGGTATAAAGAGCTCTAGGCCAGGGAAAGAACTTTCAAGAAGCCTGAATTTAAAGGTAGGGAACTCATGAAGAAGATGGAATGGGAGTCATTGAGAAGGATGAGATGAGCCAAGAAAGCTCAGGGACTTGAGAGTGTAGGGGATTCAAGACAGGCAGTAGAGAAAATGTCAGTTGCTATCAAGTCTTGGATTGCTTATTGGTTATAACTAAAGCCCTTGTTGCCAGTAGGAGGGAGACGCTTCTTTGTTAATATTTAGCAAAAGTAGGCCCTGGAGCATTACATATAGTATGTTCTCAGATGTTTTATATTGCGTAGGCAAAGACAAAGCAGAAGGTTAGACTCGCCCAAACTGTTATCAGTCGTGTGCTTTGAATGGCTCTTTAACAGATTTCTTCTTTGTAATTTATACTTTTCATTTTTTCTGCATAGATCAGTATTATTACTATTATATTACTGTATTTTATTGACAGGTTCTTATTGTGCTGTGTAATTCATTTTGGCTTTAGGCTACACCTTCCTGCCTCAGTCTCCCAAGTACTGAGATGACAGGTGTGGACCAACACATTTGACTTGCATTATTTTTATAGTCAGGAAAAAATTGAAAATATAAAGCCATTGTAATAATTGCTTATTTTTTAATAAGGAAGAAAGGTTATGTTTTAGGTTATAATTTACATAAGACAGTCAACTTGATTTGTATGCTTAAACTGTTGGTCAGTGGAATAAAGTTCTGGCCATTATGGCAGATTAGTATTTATTATAGATAGTAATTACTATTATAATATTAATTTAAGAAAAATTACTATTACAGCTGTCAATGAGGTTATTTGTACTAAGGTCAATAAAGTTGGTTTCTTATAAAACAGATGCCTTCTTTTACCCCAGGATTAAGAACTTGTGCTTTGTACCTCCCCAAAGGCCTCACCTTCAAATTCCAACACATGAATTTGGGGATTAGCATTGGGAGGGCACAATCAAACCAGAACAAGTACACTTCAGCTCACACAGCTGGGAAGGAAGATCAAGGGCCTGAACTTGGTTGGCTCTTTATCAATGTCCTAAGTTCTTGATAGCTAAGTTCACACTGTATACCCTTCTTCACTTAATAAAGGAGAAAGAGCTTGAGAAATTAAGAATGAAGTGAGTTTGCCAACCATGACCAGCCAATTAGTTGGTACTCATACACTTACAAAGTCCCAAGAATTGGGGGGCTGGAGAGATGGCTCAGTGGTTAAGAACACTGGTTGTTCTTGCAGAAGACCTGGGTTCGAATCCCAGCACCCACATGGCAGCTAACAACTGTCCGAAACTCCAGTTCCCGGGGATCCGACAGCCTATTCTGTCCTCCGCAGGCATTGCAAGGCACGGGTACATTTACCTGCACACAGGCAATACATGCATACACATAAAATAAAAACAATAAATAAAATATTTAAAAAAAACAAAGTCCCAAGAACGATGTAAACTGCCCTACACGATGACCGGTCGTGTGGCAGACACTCAGTGTGTGAACCAAGAAGACAGAAGGGCCCAGAGTTTTCTAATTGCTCTCTCAGCCCTGCATACCTCCTTCCTCGGCCCAGAGCTCCTGTGAAGCTGCTCACCCTCAGTTCCCACGGCTCATGTTTGTCCACAACTGAAGATACAGAGTCCTTTTCGCTCTGTGGGTGGTGCCTACAGGAGCACAGGGAAAGAAAAGGATAAAATCATTAGAATGATGGGCCTTGGAGGTGGCTCAGTTGGTAAAGTGCTTACTGAAGCAGCATGAGGAACCTGAGTTCAGATTCCTAGAGGCACATGTGAAAAAGTTGGACATGCTGGATGTGGTGGCGCATGCCTTTAATCCCAGCACTCGAGAAGCAGAGTCAAGAGGATCTCTGTGAGATCAAGGGCAGCCTGGTCTACATATCAAGTTCCAGGCCAGTTGGGGCTACCAGGAAACCCTGTCTTCCCCCGCCCCCCCCCAAAAAAAACCGTTGGACATGGTAGCATGTACTTGTGAGTTCAGAGCTGGGAATATAAAGACACGTCGGTCTCTGAGGCTCTCTGGCTAGCTAGCCTAGCATAATCAGCAAGGTCCAAGTAAAATGAAATTCAGAGACCCTATCTCAAAAAAGAAGGTGGAAAGTAAACGAGGAAGACACAGGAGGCTGCCTTCTGGTCTTCACACACATGTGCATGCACATGCAATGGGTTCCCACATACACACATATACCTGTATACACACATGCATCCAGACACATATACATAAGTACACGCCAAAGAAATTGCACTTTGAAAATATCTGATAAAAATTTCATGTCCTCTTTCTTATTCTTTTTTCTAGATAGAAGCGGATTCTGTGATGTCTTCGGTGGATCCTAACACTTCTGGTAATACAAAAGTTCATATTTTTAGTGCCATTATTTAGACATTCATAAAACTAAATTTACAAACAACATAATTAAGAACTGTAGGGATTACTTCTACAACATGGACATATTCTGGACAAATGACTTACCTAACCTTGCAACCAAAAAGTTAATCTTATCTTACCTGTGTATAATGTAGACAAGCTCACTGAGCCATGTGCTCCTCTGTGACCTGGGCAGATGGCCTTAATCCTCATGACCCTTCCTTGCCCTCATCCTAAAATGATGCTTGAGAGAGAGAGAGAGAGAGAGAGAAAGAGAGAGAGAGAATGTATCAAGTGCTGTTGAAGTGCTTATCTCGTTGCAAACAATGAGAGACATTTAACACATCTGTTTATGATTGTGTGTGTGTTGGTCTAGGGACAGAAAGGGCAAAATTCTTCTGAAAGAAGAGTCTGACTTTTACTTCTCCATTTCATGTTGGACATACTGTTTCAATAAAAAATAGAGGAGGCCCTTGTTCTGGAGCACAGTTCTGAGAAAGTGAAGGAACCAGTTCTCAGCACTTCAGATCTGCTCTTGGCCTTGAACGGATGCTCAGAGTCAGGCTGTTTTTCTTTGTGGCACAATTGTACTGTGGTGTAAACTCTACAAGAACAGATAGACTATGCATTGTATTTAAACACATCTTTGTTTCTCAGCATTTAAAAGAAAAGCTTTTGAAAAGTTTTTATTGGTTTATTGAGTTAGCATACAAAGAAATAGGTTTGATTATGGTATTTTCATACCTGTTTTGTCCTTGTTTGTCCCCCTTCCCCAGCCCCTCTGCTGGTCTCCTCCTCACCCCCATAGCCCCCCTCTGCTGGTCTCCTCCTCACCCCCATAGCCCCCCTCTGCTGGTCTCCTCCTCACCCCCATAGCCCCCCCTCTGCTGGTCTCCTCCTCACCCCCATAGCCGGTTGCTTTCTCTCTTTCCTTCCCCTCTTCCTTCCTTAAAAACTCTTCTCTCATGGTTCCCTTTCTAGTTTTGAGACATACGTGCACACACACACAAATTTAAGTTCCATATATGAGAAAACATGCAGTATTTGTTATTGTGTGTTTGGCATATTTCGTTTAACATGGTTTCTAGTTCCATCCATCTTCCTGCAAATGTCATGATTTAATTTTTCTTTATGATTGACTAAAATTCCACTGTTATGGACTACATTTTCTTAATACATTCATCTTTTGGACAGCTAGGTTGAATCTATTTAAGAAATTAGTATTAGTAGTGGAGCAATATGCTAGTACTAGTGTTAATACTAATTAGTACTAATACTATTTATTAGTAGTGGAGAATAGACGTGGATGTGCAGGTATTGCTGTGGTAGGACTTAGAGTCCTTAGAGTATATGCCCGGGAGTGGTATAGCTGAGGCATATAGTTAAATTTTTAGTTTTTGAGGAACCTGCATGCTTCTTCCTAAGGTGGCTATACCAGTTTATAGTCCCATCAGTAGTGAGGAAGGGTTCCTCTTTCCTCACTACCATTGTGGTGTTGCTTTCTTTTTTCTTACTGGTATAGATTCATTATACATTATGTTGGACTTCATGGGGACAGTTTCTTTCAAGTGTATCATGTACATTGGCAACATTCATCCTCTTCCCGTTCCCTCTTCCCCATCCCACCTTAATGTCCTTGTTTCCCCCAGTCTTCCTTTTGCTTTTATGTCGTGTGTGTGTGTGTGTATTCATAAAGAATTCTAGGGTACACAAATAAGAGAAAGCATATCTTTCCATGTCTGGCTTATTTTGTTAATATGATAGATGCATCCATTGTCCAGCAATGACACCATTTCATTCTTTATGGCTGAATAAAACCCCACTGTGTACATATACTGCATTTTATTTGTCATTCATGACTGATTCCTTAACTTGTTGACTATAAGTAATATTGCAGTAAACATGACGCAGGAATCCTTTGGGTATTTCCCAGAATTGGTATGGTTTGGCCATATGGTAATTCTACTTTTAGTTTTATTAAGGAAACTCCATACTGATTTCCATATTCACTGGGCCAATTTACATTCGTACCAGCAATACATAAGAGTTAACTTTTCCCTGCATCCTCACCAGTGTTTGTTGTTTTCTTAAAGATAGTCATTTGGACTGGGGTAATGAAATCTCATGTATGCTCATGTTACATGTGTCTGCATGCATGCATGCCAGTGCACATGCATTTGAACATGGGTGTGTGGATGTGAGGACCAGAGGTCAACCTTTGGTGTTGGCCCTCAGGTATTATCCTCCTTGTTGATTGAGATAGGCATTCTCGTTGACTCGGAACTTGTCAAAGTAGGCTAGTCTGTGTGGCCGCAAGCCCCAGGGATACATCTGTCTCCACTTCCCTGGCACAAGAATTACAAGCACATGCCACCATGCCCAGATTTTTTTAAAAATTTCTGTATATGAGTGTTTTGTGTGCTTGTATGTAAACCACCACATGTATGCAATGCCCACAAGCACCTTGCTGACTGAACCATCTCCCCAGACCTTTAGTGTGGTTTTAATTTGCATTTCTGTGATACCTAAAGATGTTGAACAGTTTCTCATATTTACTGGCCATTTATACTTTTTTAGAGAACTGTCTGTTCATTTGTTCACTTCATTAGTCCTTTGTTGATTGGCTTGTTTGGTGGTGGTAGGTTTTTTGTGTTAGTTTAGTCTTTCGAGTTTTTTATATATTCTAAATATTAATCTGTCAAATGTGTAACTAGCAAAGATTTATTTCCCATTGTGTAGGCTGTCTTTTCACTTGATTAACTGCTTCCTTTGATGTGCAGATGCTTTTTAATTTCATGTAATCCCATTTGTCAATTCTTGGTATTATTTCAAGAACTGTTACAGTCCTCAAAAAGTCCTTGCCTATGCCTATATATTGAAATATTTTCCTTCCAACAGTTTCAGGTCTTACTCTTAGGGCCTCTGATCCATTTTGAATAGATTTTTGTATAGGATAAGAAATAGGGAGATTTCATTTCCAGTACAATCTGTTAAAGAGGCTGTCTTTTCTCCAGCTTATGTTTTTGACAGCTTTGTCAAAATTCGGTGATTGTAGTTGTATAGATTTATTTCTTGGTCCCCTCTTCTATTCCATTGATCTGTTTCCCACCCCCTGTTTTTGTACCAGCAGCATGCTGTTTTTATTATGACTCTGTATGTATTATAGCTAATTTTGGTCTGCGGTCTGTTTTGTCACATAATTGCTACACCTGGTTGCTCTCTAGTTTGATTAACTTGAAAATTCTTTTTCCATCTTTTTGCCCTAAGATTGTGTTTGTCCTTGCCTGTGTGGTACATTTCTCATGGGCAACAAATTGATCATATTTTTTTTAAATACAATCTGAGTCTGTTAATCCTCATAATTATTATTGAAATGTATGTATTTATTCTTGTCATTTGTTCCTTTTGTAATGTTTGCTTTCCCAATCCTCATTTGCTATTTATTTTATGGTGCCGTTTTTTTTTTTTTTTTTCTTGTGATTTCAGGACATGTTTGTCTACTCTTCAGTATGTAGGATTCCTTCATATATCTTCTGTAGTGCTGGCTTTAATTTGTGTTAATCATGGAAAGTTTTTCATTCTTCAGGTTATGAAAGATAACTTTGCTGGTCATAGTATAGTACTAAGTTCGAAGCACAGAGGAACGCCACATAGTGATGTTGGAGTAAGAGTCCTTTAATAGTTAGCCAGGTAGTTGAGAGTGGGCTCAGACCCAAAATAACTCTACCCCAAGGGGAGGAGGAGTGGAGTTCATAAAGCCTAAAACCACAATTTTATCATGTCAGGGGCAAAGCCAATAACCATGAATACATCAAATCACCATAGTTATATTGGCTAGGGGCAGATCAATTAACAAAGAAGGTTTTAGTTAACAAAGTTTTTAGTTAAACAAGTTTCTAAGTTTTGGTTAGGAAAACAAGTTTTTTAGAATTGTAGAAACAGTGGACTCTCTGGAGATGCAGGTGTAGCTGGACAGGGCGTTCTGCCTGGCTAGTTGTAAGTTTCCCAGTATTGTGGAAAAAACATATTCCCTGAAACTGCTGGCACAACCTTTATGGGATGGGTTCTGCCTGGCTGGCTTCAGGGGAGCTGCTGGGCGGAAACGCAGGGTAAAGCAAAAGTCAGTTAGAACAAAATGGAGTCAGTTTGGCCTCTTCAATAGTCATCTGGATTAGCAGTTATTATTGTCTTCAGGACTTGAAATACATAGTTCTTGCCCCTCTTGGCTTTTAGTGTTTATTTTGAGAAATCTGCTGTTACTTTGGTGGGTTTGCCTTCAGATGCAACTTGGTGCTTCCCTATTGTAGCTCCAGTGTACTTTCTTTGTTCTTTAGTGTTTTAACTATAATATATATGGGGAAGTTCTTTTATGGTCTAGTCTCCTTGGCTTTCTAACTGTGTCCTGTATTTGGTCATCTTCTCCCTTCGATTTGGGAAGTTTTCTGCAGTGATTTTATTGCCTGTGCCTATCATTTGAGATTCTTCTCTTTCGTGTGTCCATTCTTCTTCTCTGTTTTTCTTGGTGTCCCACAGAGCTCTCATACTCTGTATTTTCTTACTGGTTTATCTTTATCATTGTCTGAATGTCCTATCATCTGTCTTGTCTTCAAGACCTATTACTCTTTCCTTCCATTTCATTTATTCTATTGATGAGGCTAAACACTAAGTTGTTTCTTCTGATAACAAATACTGAAAAACTGTTTTCAAACATTCTTTGGTACACATATAAATTTACCATTTATTAAAGATGAATGCAAGTATGCATACTAATGAAATAGATGTGCTTATTTTTACATAGAATATTAAATCTTGACTCAATTTTGAAATTATTTTTATTGAATTTTTTAGAATTTAATACAATGTATTTTGCTCATATTCAGATACCCTCCCCTATCTGCAGCCCCTCTTACTAAACCCTCCACCCAATTTTATGTTCTCTATTATTTTTTTAAGGCCTATCAAGTTTAATTTGTGTCC